TCGGGGTCTTTTATTGTTCCATATGAATTTTTGGATTGCCTTTTCTATTTCCTTGAGGTTGGAATATTGATAGGTATTCCATGGAATTTGTAGATAGCTTTGGAGAAGTATTGCCATTTTCATGATGTTGATCCTTTCAATCCAGGAGCATGGGAGGTTGTGCCATTTTCTAAGTTCTGTTTTGATTTCCTTTTTCAGGTTTTTAAAGTTTTCATCATTGAGTTCCTTCACTTCTTTGGTTAAGTTAATTACTAGGTATTTTATTTTTTTATTGGGGCTATTACAAATGCAGTTGCTTTCCTGATTTCAGCCAGCTTTTCTTATTGTTGGCATACAGAAAAGCCACTGATTTGGGGGGGGTTAATTTTATACCCTGCTACTTTGCCAAAGATTTGAATCAGCTTGAGTAATTTGGGAGTGGAGTTCGTGGGATTCTTTAAATACAAGATCATGTCATCTTCTAAGAGGAAGAGTTTTACCTTGATCTTTCCCTATTTGCATCCCTTTTATGTTTGCATCTTGTCTTATTGCTGCTGTAACTAGGCATTCTAATACTAAATTGAAAAGAGTAGAGAGAGTGGACATTCTTGTCTCATTCCTGAGTTAAGAGGAAATGGCTTTATTTCTTCACCATTAAGTATAATGCTGGGTGTAGGTTTGTCATATACAGCCTTTATTGTATTGAGGAATGTTCCTTGGATTCCTGATTTTTTCCCGAACCTAGATCTTGTTAAATGCTTTGATAATTTTTATTCATATATTATTGTCACATAGTTTTCTATATAATAATACCCTCCTAAAGACTTCACTTTCTGTATCTTTTTATATCCACCTAGGCTCACATATACATACACTCAGATATAGGTTAGCTAGAATAATACAATAAAAAAGAAGAATAGTAACAAAGTTGGTTCGACATTACTTGATATTTTCTTTCAGGTTTAAAAATACTACATGCTTATCATTCTCCAGAGAAATACTCATGTAATAAAATCTTGTGAAATTATTAAGAAATGAATGCGATTAGTGCAAGAGTGTCACTACATGTACTTCTGCCCCATATTCAAGTAATAATCTGTGCATAAAATTGCTTTTAAAAAATTCACTAAATGACTAACTTTGCTAATTGTTTAACCCTCAGGTAACTCATACCCAATCTTCCTAACACACTAATTTGGTTTGTCATACCAACATTCACATACTCAAACACCTCCTTAACAAATGTTACATAAGATATTTGGTTGGCTTATTTACCAAGAGAATTGTTTATATGCTAGAATAGCACATAACCAGCATTATAGCCAGTAATTGCAAAATATTTACAAAATAATTAGAAAAACATATAAACAAAGATATTTACAAAATTAATATCTTATTTATATTTTAATCTATTAGAAGTTGTATTCAAGTACATTTTAAATCTGACATTACTCACAGATTACTTTCTAATTAAATCTGTAAGAAATAGGGTGTCCCTGACCATGGGAAAAAGTTAACAACCTAGGTTTTATACTTGGTCATCATGTAATATTTATGGGTCTGCATATACAGTAGGTGAATTTTATGGTTACCAAAAGGAAACATAAATCAAATAAGTCAAACTGAACTACATGTAGACAATTTTTATTTAAGAGAAAAGGCCTAAATGGTATTCTATATTTCATGGAAAACAGAGAAATTGGATTATCTTCTCTTAGCACCTCCCCAAACATTGCCATTTATTTGGAAAGCAGTACTGGATATTTGCAAAAATATGGTATAGTACATAATATAATTTGTCTTAATGAGAAATCTCTTCTTTGTTTGTGCTCATATTTGGGTTTGAGCTCATTGGCTTGTGCTCTCACGAGGGTTTTAGCTCACAGCATTCTACCACTCGAGACAAGTCTAGCCTAAATTTTGCTGGTCAATTGAGATATAGTTTGAGGAGCCAAGATTGCAAGCAAGCACCTGGCTGTCAGTGTCATTTAGAAACCAATTGCTTTCAGAAAAGAATGATTGTATCATTATTATTGCTGCTATTGTTGTTTATTTTCACTTTAGCATTTATGCTATTCTGTTCTACTGGCTTTGTGCTTGACTCATGTCTTTATTACTAGTTATTTTATTTTAAAATATGGTCACATGAGCTTTCCCATTGCAAGTTTCTAAGTGGACTTTTAAAAATAGCAAAGAAAGGTGTACATTAGTTGTTATGCTATAAAAGTAAGTTGTAAGTGGTATTCATTACCTCAAAACTATTCTTTATATAATTATTCACAAAATGTATAAACATAAATGAGATATAGTGATTAACACAAAGTTTTAGTGCATTTAAATCTTCAAAAGTTTCTTCTATTGGTGAAAATATAAGCATGTTTCTACATAGCATATTTGTTAAATGTAGAGCATATATTCAAGAATATGTAACAGAAATCTACTCTCATATTCTAGTTGGGTGACCAAAACTATTCATGAAGAGATAATCATTTTCAAGACAAATTGTTGCAATGAAGTTTGGTCACTAAACATTTAGTGAGGTCTATTTATGTGAGGTCTATTTATGTTCTACTTCAGGAAGCCTAGGGAGGTGAGATTTTACACTTATTGGAGCTCAAAATAAAATTGAAACGTATTTGTTCTGGAAAAAAAACAGAGTTCTATTAGAAACAATTAAATTAATGCTATAGTAACTAGCTATCCAGTATTTAAAAATATGTAACATGTATTAGTCTTTAGTAAGACTCACTATAAATTACCTATTACCAAGAAGTCTAGTGTGATATAAATTTGAAAGTCCCTCTTTGAATATAGGGATGTTTTTAATCAATGGTTTAATGGAGAGGGGTGGCTCAGATATCATAAATCTAATTATAATTATAGAAGCTGAAAAGTCCATCTCATTGATGTTTAGTCTATGCTAGCTACACAGCCAAAGAATTGTTTGCCAAGTGAAACCATTAGTGTTCATTTATAGTCTTTCTGGAAAATAGACATGCATATACCTCATTTAAGATCCTTAGATGTTTAAAAAAAGAGTAATAATCTCTGTATTAACATTAGGACTGTGTTTTAATCACATTTAAGAGAGGGTTCCACAGAAATACATGCATAAAAGTGTACATAACACATGAAATTTTTAGATTAAATTCAACTATGTGACATATTTATTTATCATCTTCTGGTTTCTAAGACTGGCTAGACAATATAAAAATAGAAAAAAAGGTGTTTTTTGTGCTGTTGTTCTTCTTCTTTGTGCTACTCTTGAGCTTGAACTAAAGGCCTATGCACTATCTCCGAGCTTTTGAACTCAAGACTAGTGCTCTAACGCTTGAGCCACAGCTCCACTTCTGGCTTTTTGATGGATTAGTTGGAGTTAAGAGTCTCTTGGATTTTCCTGCCCAGGTTGGCTTTGAACTATGCTCATCAGATCTCAGCCTCCTGAGTTATTAGGATTACAGATATGAATTACCAACATCTATCTAAATATAATGAAGTTTAATATGTTTGAAAATGAAACATTTATATTTATCACAGATAATGCATTTTCCTCAGATTTGCATCACAAATTTTACAAAACAAGCATCAAGTTTTAGAAATAAATCACCTGGATTTTGTCTCAACTGATTTCTGTTTAGCAAGTTAATGTGATTGACATTTTTTCTTAATTTCTCTTGTTCACATTTGAATTATGTGGATATTTCTATGAAATTATTTAGTTTCTTATATATATATATATAATTGTGAAAATATCATACAGAGGGGTTACAATTACATGGGCAAGGTAGTGAGTACATTTCTTATCAAGCATTGTTGCCTCCTTCTTTGTTTCCCCTTCCCATCTCTTCCCATCCCTTCCCATCTCCCCCACCACATGCATAACATCTTGTACATCTCATTGTTGCAATAGGTTCACCTGTATCCCTATTTAAACAATCTGTTTTTTCCCTTGCCCTCCACAAATTATACCAACACATCAAATACAGTGAAAACAGGGGTTATACCGTGGAGGAGGGACATACTTGGTTATAAGGAAAGTTTACAGGAAAAAGAATATTGTAACAAAATAATGCTAGTGATTCTAAGCAATTCACATTAACTAATATCAATTCAATTCAATGACAAATTTGCTATTTTTGTATCCTGTTATACAACATCACATTTATTTGTTAGTCAAAAATAAACTTTACTTTCTAAATGGAAAATTAAAAGTCCTAAACTCTAATGATTTCATTGTACAAATAATTTGGGGAAATGATAAAGCATTTGAGATATTCACATTAAACTCTGTGAAGGAAGAAAAAGTATTACTAAAATCATTTGTTCAAAAAAAATAATAATATGTGGGGTTTGTAGAAAGAAAACAATATATATGCATGCTTATCTGTTTCTAAAAATGAAGAGTCATTTGGGTACCTATATGTAAAATTTTTACCATCACAAAATATTTAAATTGTTTGAATGTTTCCTAATATCTTATTTATAAAAACTGAGCCCTCAATTTTCATATTTTTGCATCTTGCATTTGCATTTTTCAAATCTATTCATTGGACAGTATTGCCTATGGATGTGAAAATGGATGTATTACTGTAGAAATGTCAAAATATATATTTTTTTAAATCATAGGTTATTCTTAAAATTATTTGAGAACCAATTCAGAGTTCTTGCAAATTCAGATGACACAAACACTTCTAAATTTCGGATAAAAACCCAAAAAGTTTTATAGAGCAATATTGTTTTAAAAAGTAAAGCTCTTCTTTACTTCAACAACTGAAAAGCTAAGATCTCTCAATTGATTAAAACTTATTTTTGAAAAATAAATATATATATATAATTCCAGTTTAACAGTAAATATTTCATGCAACAATATCCTAATAGTTTTAAAGTAAGCATCAAATGACCATCTGATCAGTAAATTGCATCACTTATCAAAAAAGATCTGACAGTAAACTTGGGTGTGATATGTGCATGCTACAGCATACTATGTTCAGAGTTAGAAAATAAACGTAAAATGCAATTACCCTAAAAGACATTTCAAGATTCTCTCCACCCCAGATATCCATTCCTGCATCGTAAGTTCCTATCTCTTCAAAGTAGTTTCTTTCAATAGAAAATAGGCCACCAGCCATAGTAGGGGTCCTAGTTGAAAAACAAACAAAAAGAAAAGAATATCTTTTGAAAACAATGTGTGGAACTTAACAAGACTCTATTAAATATTTCTGCCATAATTAAGAATGAAAAATTGTATTCAAAATGTTCAAACTGGAAACAACAAAGCCAAGGTGTAAAAGGTTTGAAAATATAAAAAAGTGGTTTATTTCACATATTATGTAAAACTCAATTTAGATTAATCTCCATTCTTCCTGTTTTAATTAAAGAGACACATGAATGTAGGAGCACTGGCTACTTAAAATTGGGTTTCTGCCTTCTTTCTGAAAGACATCATGAAGAGAAGTTGCTGCCCTCTGCACTGTTTTTGAAAACATGAACTGGTCATAAAACCAGCAGTTGTGACCCATGATCATGCAATTATAAATATGAACTCTAGGAACTGGAGGACATACCTTCTATATGAAAAGATCCATAGTCTATTAAAATATGAAAACTGGAAAATGTTATAAAAATACTTACAGATATAAGTATCTGTAAAATACTGTAAGCAAGATTATTTTCCAACATAAGAATTTTACATCCAATACTTTATTCTTCTCTTTTCCTTATTAAAGGATGAAATTAATTACTTGAGTCTACTGACAAACATAAATCCCACCTGATACCTAGAGGATTAGGACTTTTGGGAGACTCAAAACATTTTCTTAGGAATATATGCATTTATGTTTCTAAGGTTTGAAATTTCCCCATGGAACAAAGAAGTCAAATGTTAAGTTTATAAAGAATTAATTTGAAAGATTAATTAGAACCCCTTGCTATAACTATTATACACTTAACAATGAAAAAAAAGAATGATCAGAAAGTAAAACAAGCTCTTGAGGAATGGGAAGTTAGGAGGAGGAAGGCTAACAGGAGGGTAAATGAGGTTAAAAATGATTAAAGTACGTTATATGAATATATGAAAACAGATCAATGAACTCTGTTGAGCTATTTTAAGAAAAGGTAAGGAGGATGAGGGAGGCAAGATGAAAAGAATGAGTTTGATTGCGCACATTGTATGTATATGAGGAAATGTCGCAATATATAAGTTCATAAGCTAATAAAAATGTTTAACAAAGATTAGAACAAGATTAGGTCATTCTGCATTAGCAGCGTGAAATAAAAAGAAAAAATAAAATCCTAGTTGTTCACAATTAGAACTATACTGACTGATTAATTTAAATGTCAGTTGTGTTAAAGGGAGAGTAGTTGAGGAGATGGGAAGAAAGGGATGGTAGGGGAAAAACAAAGGAGGAGCCAACAATGCTGGATAAGAAATGTACTCTTTACCTTGCTCATGTAACTAAAACCCCTCTGTACAGTATTTTCATAATAAAAACTATTTTAAAAAAGAATTTCCAAATAGAGAGCATATTAGTGCATCCAAGGCATCTTTTAAAAATATTTATGCTTGGTTGCTGTCCACTGACTTAGACTTAATTGTTCAGGAATAGATACGAACTGGTACTGTGTAAAGTTCCCTGATGATTCTAATGTACTGCCAAACATGAGGAACATTAATCTAGTAAGATTTCTAAATCTTTACTAGTTGTCTATGAGCATGTTTAAAAACTGTATTTTAATTTTTCTCTTTGAATTATAGACTCCTCTGCCAAAGGTTATACTCCTGTCTTCTAATTAAATAGTATGGTTCATTGAAAAACTGACAAATAGTAGTGTAATTGGACATCAACCATATTGCAAAGCCCTAATTCTCCCAGTGCTCTCAATGTTTTATATGCAGGTAATTAACTGTCCATCAGCAAAGCCTTACTGTAGTCTCAGAGCTGCTTTGTTACTTCTAGTCTTGCTGGCTTCCTATCATGAACAGTATCATTGACCTTCTGAGTTATAATGAGAAATACTAACAAAGCTAAACAGATGGTAATTATGGAGTAGCCATGACCTCACCTGATTGGGGTTGTAGAAGTCTGTGGCAATAACTATATAAAGTATTACAGTACTAAAGAGTATATTTAATAAAATTAGGCACCAAAATTGCTGCAATTATGCTATCACAATGCAATCAAGTGCTTAGGAATGTTAAGTGATACATTTTTAATAATCAGTTCCGAGAGCATATCTGCTTAATGATGAAATGCTAACACATTTAAACATACGTATTGAAATTCATCTGAGAGTTGATCATCATTCTTATATATATATGTGAGAAATGTATTCTGAAAATAAGTAAATTTATCCATAAAATGATTCAAGTAACTTTCATGTATATTTGAAAAGAAGCATTTTTCTTCAAAAACAATGCCATGTTTCCCGAAGATAAATGCTGCTCATTTTTTATGTTTTCATGATCAGTGAGCTCTCTCAGTCTGTGTAATATTGTTCTGTATAATATTTCACATATCTTGCCATAGCCAATGGTGTGCAATGTGTCTGTTCTAAGCTAACTTCCCAGTGATATCCAATAAAACAGTCATACGCTTGGGAACAGCTTCATTGTCTATTAATTACAAAACTTTGGTTGCAGTTTAATTAACTGAAAGTATTTTATTATTCCAGGTTGTGTCCACACAGTGTCAAAACCACTAACCGCTTCAAAAAACTTGGGTTGGGATGATGAATAATCATCCCGGTGACTGTGAATTTTCTAATACCTACATAGGTGAAGATGCACTAAATTCACAGAGTTGTACATGCTGTTGTGTCCATCACATGATATAGAGGTAAGAGGATTCGAAAATATATTTTTTGTAGTTACTGAATTTAATCATTTAATCATCACAGCCCTGATAAAGACAGAAAGTATGCAAGGCATTTTTTTTTTTTGCATAAAAAAGTCCTGAAAATTACCTGTATTTTGCCTGGGTCTCACTCATTTATCTTAACCCAAACCACTGTCTAAGAATTAGGAGTCACTACCAGGCTATAACTACATGCATCTCCCAACTCAAAAAGAAAAAAGATACAGACAAAAATCACCACATTGAGTCTTTAACTCTTATTTCCCGCATAGAAAGCAGGAATTATTTCTCTTTATTTCTCTATTTCTCCTTACATTTACCTTGTAATGCTAAAATACATCTTTGAAAACACTTCCAATAATCAAAACAAAGCACATAAGCCTTGAGTGTCCATCACTTAAGTTCAGCTTTCTATATGCACAGTCTCATTTTCAGTTCCAAAATAATGTAGATGTGCTTTATATCCAACATCTTGTATATGAAATACAACTCTAAAATACAATTTCCTGGTTTTTTTGGGGGGGGTGGGGGGCTTTCTATTTCTATCGTAACACCCTTTATATCCTCGTTTGGTAATAATGGTCCTTATTTAATTCACATTACCAGCCCTGTATAATTTTTTTAAGTTTTTTATTGTGAAAATACTGTACAGAGGGGTTACAGTTACATAAGCCAGGTAATATTTCTTATGCAGCATTGTTGGCTCCTCCTTTGTTTTCTGTATAAATTTTTATTCCTTCCACCTCTTGCCAAATTCTGGCATATCAATGAAACATTAATTTAGCACCCTTGATTCTTCCTTCCTGACTTTCCTTCATCTAATTCTCCTAGAGAATTCCTAGAGAAAAACACCAATACAACTCTATGTTACTTATGCTGTAAAAAAAATAAAAAGTAGCTAGCAATCACCTGTATTTTTCATTTACCTTATTTAAAAATATATATTTTCCAAAACTTTGTATTCCTCTCAAAAACCTGGGGATTAATGAAATTTACAAAAGCTAAACTCCTTCTATGAAATCTAAACTCTCTTGCTCTAGCTCCATCTGTTTATGAGTCTTCCTCATGGCTTCTTCTTTTGTCATTTATAAGATCAATTATTCCCTTTCTTCGTATTGTGAGCTAACTCAATCTTGTGTCCTCAGCCTGGTCTAATCTCTCTTTCAAGACACTTGTTCAGGGCTGGGAAGGTGGCTCAGTGGTAGAGCACTTGCCTTGCCTGCATGAGGCCCTTGGTTCGATTCCCCAGCACCACATAAGCAGAAAAGAAGCTGGAAGTGGCGCTGTGGCTCAAGTGGTAGAGCACTAGCTTTGAGCTGAAGAGCCGAATGGCAGAGCCCAAGCCCAGAATTCAGGCCCCACGACCGGACCCCCTTTCCCCCAAAAAGACACTTGTTCATTGCTGCTTTTATGCTTTGTGCCTTGGATTTCTAGATGGTCCCTTTGACAAATTAGAACAAATCAACTTCTGCTTAAACCAAAATTCATCTTTACATGATCTCATACCTATTCATACTCGGGATACATGTTTTGCTCTTCCCTTTGCTGGTAACCTTATTGAAGAGGCACTTTCTCAAAATTCCCTAACCTTCTTTTGACCTTCTAAATAGAAGCTAGATTCTGCTCCTATCTCTGCAATAACTTCTTTCTAAAAGCTCTACATTTATTCTGAACTTCAGTAGATCTTCCTTAACTTCTTCCTCTAACAGAATTTAACAAGATTCACCAACCTTCATTTCATGGCTCTCTAGGGTTTTTTCTTGTACCTATTTTCCTGTTCATTACATAATTCTTAGTGATGGCAGTCTCTTCCATTGCTTGGCTGGATATTCAACTTGGGACAAGTTCTTAGTTTTTCATGCACCACATGGGTACAATATAGCGCTATAATACTTTTACAGGTATAAGGTTATTAATTATATTCTTTTCTCTTACATGTGGTCTTTCTAAGTCTTGGAAATGTTCTCACTAGCTGTGTAAGATCCCTCTACACGTTTTTAACAGATATCTATCTCCAATGACTTTGCTTCCTAATCTGTGTTTTCTTGCATTTTTTCCCTCTTAATGAACTATATTTTTATAATTACTCACTACATGTCCCCATCAGAAGATCCCAGAGGTTATTTATAATACTCAAATATACAATTTGTAGACTATGAAGTATTTATATAAACTTTAATGATATATCAAATAGTATGATTTATAAGAGAGATAAATGATGACATAAATATGTCATTATGTAAAGCTAAGGCAAAAGAAACTGAAATCTTAATATATTTTACTGTT